TGTCTACAGGAGGAGCTCTGTTCCGGCTACAGGGGAACAGCTAATATAAGTGAATTATAGCAAAGCAAATTATGGTTGCATTTGCTCTGATGGAGTGAATCCACACAGACTTGCCATCTGCTTTAACTCAGCTGCTCCCTGAATTCACAGCACTGTAGTGTTCAAGATGGTCTTTTGGGGTATTGTTGGAGAAACAGAGATTAAATTTGCTTAGAAATATGACTTACACTAACGTCTACATAGGGATGTTCCACTTAACCTTGGCCTGGTTTTAAACAGTTCCAAGTAACTTTAATCTACTTTTGAACAGATACAATGAAATGAGTATAAACAAATGATCGGTAGTCTCTGTTACTGAATAATTTTGAAAGGGCTCCTGGCTGAATTAAATTGCATAGGAGTACGTCAGTGACATGGAAGGAGATCTCATGTATAAAGTCACTTCGATTTAACTACATACACTTAAAGCCATACCTTTAACTGATCTGTTTGAAGGCTTTTTATGTATGCACACTCAGGCTCCTAGGTCATTTATAATTAGCCAAAACAAATAAGAATATTCATGCAATTCCTTTAGAAGAGTCTGCTCCAGGATGTGATTTTAGTAATCCAGTCAGTTTAGTCCTTTGTTTTTTTCCTCCATTCCTGGAGTTCTGCTTTTTTTTTCCTCCTTTTTTTTTTTTTTTTTTTTTTTTTTTGGAAAGGATGTTTCAGCACTGTTCCTGGCAGAGGAACCACAGGGAAGAGCTGCTAAAATTGTGAGCATCTCTCATGGCATCGCCCCCACACAACCCAGATTCCTTGGGGCTATGGCCCTGTCTACTCTGTTTCCAGTTAGGAAGGGGATCCCTTCGTCTACCTGCTATTAATCTAGCACTGATGTAGTTAGATTAACAAGGTTCCCAGTTAATTCCTTTTTAGGATTAGCATCATCGCCCTAATAGTTTTTTTTTCCCCTAAGTCAGGGACAAAACTTCTAAAACTTCTTGTTTTCTTGTTACTGCTACTCATTAAGCAAAGTGCAATGCATCCAAACAGGAGAGTCTGAGTGGGGACATTTCTGCTTCAAAGTTTTTAAAGAAAGGGCTATGTTCCTTTAACTAATCAACAGAATTCAAAGGAAATTTAGAACTTTTTATTCTGAGACTGGCACAGAAGATGAAAGGAGCTTGACCTCAAGGGAACCAACAGAGCTCCTCTGGTGGCTCCACAGAGAAATAAAATGCTTGTCTAGAGGCATTATTGCTCATTTAGGCTCTTTTCAATGAAAACCGAGAAGAAAAGCTCCTCAAAATCGAAACAATGCCGATATCAGCATGTAATACATTAGAGCATCCAAGATGTTTGGTTTAATGTGGGCTGACAGGCAGTATAATTCATGCAAAAGCGACAAGAAGGGACCCCAGAAGATGCCTTTTCTTTGCTGTGTAGCCCCTGCCCGAGCAGTCCTGGTGCTTCCAGCAGGATCGTGGCAGAGGAGGCCTTTCCGAACCAGGCTGCACTCCGGATATTCAGAGGATCCAGGACCTGGAGCCTTGAAAAAGCTGCTGCGGTCAAGCTGGGCTCCTCAATGGTCCCGGTGCAGAGGGATTTAAGGGGCAATACCTTGCAGCAGACATTGCAATTATTTTCTGTCTAGTGGGTCCTATAGTTAGCACTCGGGAGCCACTTTTGGGTAAAATTAGCAGCCTTTTTCCGAGGCTTTTCACAGCCTGGTTAACTCAAGGGATCAGCCCTTGTGGCTCTTCCCTTGTGGCCTCAGATGCCTCTCCAGAGTAAAGTCAGGTAATGCAGACTTGATCCTGCCCGTTCCCCTTCTCCTCCAATACTGCAAATGCAGAAAAACTAGAGAAGTTGCCCGGATTGTCTCATCAAGACATGATTCTCATTTCAAGGCTGTAACAAAGGTTTGAAAACAAAGATCATTTTGCCAGAAGCGCTAAGAAGAAATCAAGCTGTAGAAAGACTCGTTGTGGTTGGCTTCTTTGAAGCTGGTGGGAGCTTTCCTTGCTCCATCACAGACATGGAGCTGGCCCTGGGTCATTTCTCTTTGCTCACCAAAAGATGCCAGCAAAGAGCTTCAGTTTCTCAGGCTCAGCTCCGCAGTGCTGGTATCAGGAGCCTTCCCCTTCACACAGCACTGCAGCTGTATGAATTTTCTTGAAGAAAAAACATGCTTTTGGCGTATTTCTCAACTGAAGCTGGAATATGGAATGAATGAGGATGGAATACTTCTACTGAAACAAATAATTTCTCATGGAGACAAATGTTTTAAGGAGTTGACCCTGTAATTTCAGTGGTGATTTTTCTGTTTTAAAAAAACCCATGTATGTATCAGTAGAGGAATGTGGGCTATAATATTTAAATTGTCACATGCCAAAGGTTGAGTGCAACAGGGAAATCACAGTGTAGGAAAAGGGGAGTGTAAACACGGAGTTGGTCTTGAAGGAACGTATGCTGTAAAATCTTTTAAAGCAGGTAACTGCCAATATAAACAGTCTTGGGGTCAAAAATCTGTGCAATAGACTGGAGATACAACAGGAACATGGTTTAATGCCAAGAACATGGCTTGAACCTCATGCCAAGCATTTGAATATTTTCCTCATCACTAATAAATCTTTAAAAAGGATTTTATAACAAGCTCGCCAGAGTGCCAAGGGATCATATCAGTTCTGTAGGGCCCAAGACAATGAAATTACAATGACACCTAGTGACCACAGATATTTCACAAAAATGCTATGAGCAAAAAAACCCCCACATTTATGATTAGAGCACATTTTAAATACATAACAAAAACAATCAGATTGTTAACCAAAGCCAAAGGAGGATTAACCTATTGTCATGATGGTAGAGAGCCCAAAGTTGGCACCAGGGAAGGGTTGTGGGTGGGTTACTGCAGGGATCCCTTGCAACTTCTGTATTTCTGTCTGCTTCAATGAAATCTGCCAATGACATTAAATTAGAGCACATTCATATAGAAGAACCTAGACATTTCTGAGACTGGGAATAAAACTAATAAAATGATGTGTAGCTTCAAAAAGTACGTGCTAGTCCCCAGGGAGAAAAATGCAAAATGAAATCTCTTCAGTGGGAGGAATATTCAGCGCTGCAGGAGCTCTTACTGAGCACTGGACCAACACTAAAGGAAAAAAAAAAGAAGAACAGAATAGGAACTGAACATAAAACAGCCAAAATACAATTCAGGTTTGTATCTTGAATCAAAAGGGGATTTGGGTCTGCATTCAGGAGAACTGGAAACTCAGTGAAGATTGGATTAGACAGTTAAGATCAATTGACGGAGTGTTTGCTATTCTAAACTACTGATTGACAGCTGATTTTTTTTTTTAAGTGTGGTTTTGAATATTCAATAGGCACCCTGATCACACTCAAACCTATCAGGCCCTTCAATCAGGACCAGGCCAGACAAGGCTTAGATTTTGCTGTGCTCAGAAGCACCGGTCCCCTGAGCTGAACCTTGGCTATGTGACCTGTCACGAGCGAGGGGACAGAAAGGTTTCCTCTGAAGGGGCTCAGACAGGTCTATTCATGTCCTCATTGTGCAAAGTGATGAAAACCCAATCAGTTCACTTAGCTGGAATAACAACCGTGAGTGATAACTGATGCGCTTCCTGGCGAATTGATTTTGCAGTTGCAGCCTGGGTATGTCTGTGGCTGTATAAATATGCAGTCAAATTTTCTTCTGATGAAACATTCAGGAGCTCATCTGATAAGAGCTGAGAAGAAAACTTCCAGCCAATTTCAGAGGTCTTCCCCTGAGTCTCTCTCAGCTGCGCAGGGTTAGGCTCTCAATTACCAGCTGAAGGTAGAATATACGTTCACCCCATCTGATTCATTTCAGGTGCCACTAGAGAATACGGCTCAGAAATAAGCATAAGGGAGAGACATATTCGGGCACATCAGATGCCATAGCTGCTTCTAATGGTTGTAAGCAATAGTAATAGAACAGGAGTTTATTAAATATTGCTGATCCAAATTAACCACGGGGTTTCTATGATTAGATAACTGGTTTTCTAGATGGAACTGGGAGCTAAGTCCTGACAAGAAGGACACAGGAGACCTTTCTCTGGCAGGAGAAAAAGAACTATGCATCCTCTCGAGGTTAAGTGCTGACTTAAATACAACATTAATTTGCAACTTTGATAAGGAAAAAAAATAAGTGCAGTTACATGGACATCAGCTACCTTTTAGCTTATGGAACAAAACCGTTCAGGGTTGATGGCATTTTAATCAGATTCATCTCCCTAAAGAGATGGTAGTTCACAAGTTTAGAAGATCAGGAATCAAGTCAGTCCTTGCATGAAAGATATATATATATTATAGATACCTGCACTGTGGGAACATAGCAGACCTGGACCTGCTTTCTGGGAAGGAACTGTGCCTTGGCAGGTGCTGATTCCTGGAGGCTTCAGTAACTTGAAACAATTTTTGAGGACTCAGTTCCCAGTAAACCTATATGGAAGTAGATATGATCTGGGATGACATTAAGGCAATTTCCCTTGTTAATAGCAGATAGATTATTTTCCCTCTGTTGTCCAGAATATAATTTGACACATGGCTGATGATATATAGAATCTGCCTCGCAACTCCCAGTTCTTTCCGTGCACCGAGAGGGCCAAGTTGTGTCCTTCCATCCATCCTCATGCACTGGAGTGCACAAGACTGTCAGCTGCAAAAGCAACACACTACATCTGTCCACAGCTGCATCTGCTTCCCAACACAGCAAGGTGTGAATAATTTCTTTTTTCCCCCTATGGATCTACACGTTGCCCATTCCCTGCTTTGCTTTACTCTCAGATGTGCACGTCCAGGCACGGGATGAGCTTCCACGCTTCTCCGCAGTGCCACTTAAAACCCACGCGGGTGTCCTCGCTGCCTGCTGCACTGCTCCTCGGCGCGATGGGGAGGAAGGCAGAGCGCTCTGGAGCCCGGGTTGCCACAGTAACCCTTGCTCTACCGCCTGGCGCTTCTCCATCAGAAAAACCCTTCCTGCTGCAAGCACGCAGCTCCAGGTATGGGACATGCCCGGAGCTGGGTCATGGTGTGGCTGTTGATGAACAGGAATCAGTGAGGAGTATCGTTACAGGAGCCTTTTCCTGGTTCTGAGCCTTCCTACAACCTCCAGACCCCCCCGGCACACCCAGAGAAAGGTAGGTCTAGGGAAGGGCGGGATTGCTTTGCACCCAGACATGGCTCCATGCTCCGTTTTTCCATTTCTTTTCCTAACTGGCGTTCCCGAGCAGGGTGGAGGGAACACATTGTCATCTGCAATGTATATTATTCCTGTGATGCCTGTTGCTGCACTCTAATGAGTATGTGTTGTCTGAAGCCTCCGTTATTTCTTTCTTTTTTTTTTCCCCCATTTCTTTTTTCTTTCCCTTTCTGCCACTGTAACGCTCTGTTTCTTACTCTTCACTGAGATAAAAGGTTTCCTTCCCACTTACCTCCAGAAAAAAAAACCCAAATCCAGCTAGAGGGAATGACAGGACTCATGTAATTACTTGCGTTGCATGACTCTGGGCTGGCTGCCTGCGTCAGGGCTCATCCTGCCACTGAAGTGCAGGGCAGCCCCTTCCCTGAAGCAATGATTTTGTTTTGGAGCCTGGGCAAGGCCCAAAGCCCGGCCCGTGGAAGCAGTGTCGCTCCGTGCCCCCCTCAGGGAATGAGCACAATTTAACATTTTAATCCTGGGTTTTTCATCACCAGAAAGTAAAGAGCAGCTGCTAATGAATGGCTACTGCTGCTGTTGCATTTAGACCCATGCACAAAGATTTTTATTCCGTGTGAGTGTATAACTTTCATTAATACGAGTTATTTCATTACAGAGATAGCGTAAGTATTATAAAGCTAAAATATTATCTATTTAGGTAAATTAAGGAATATTTCCCTTTGAGATACTGCTTTATATTCTAAGCCCAGAAACACTGCAAGTGTTTCATGCACACCTCTCTACTCTCCCAAATGTGAGCTCACCCAAGGAACTGGAGAGGGCTAAATAAAATCTCCAGCATCGTCCCGGGCTCTCCTGCTTCCTAACACAAGTGCCACAGTGTCACCCAAGGGTGGCAGAAGCAAGAGGGCTCCCAGGCCTCCTCCTCTGATCATGCCCTGATGCTTCTTGCTGCAGAAGTCATGATATACAGCAAAATAAAAGCTGCATGTATGAATGTATTTTTCATCAAAGCAGTTACCTAGGATGTTTTGGTTTTGCTTCAATCCTTCTGCAAGATAAATCCATTCAGGTAGAAAAGCCAACTGTTGCCCTTGTAATGGGATTTAAATGAATTATGACCACTTATATTTAAAAGATTTATGTTGAAACCCAAAGGACTGAAAGGCCCGGAAGACCAAAGCTGTCTCCTAGGCCTGCATTAATATCCTTTGCTCTGGCTTGTGTTAAAGCCTCCTATTGGCACTGGCTGCAGATTAGCCAAGGATGTAATTTTTGACTCTTACCAGCCCTCAGGAATATTCCTCAGACCATGAAGTTGCTAAAATTGAGACTTGGTCTCTTCCTCACTGTAGAAAACTCCAAGAAAAGTCCAGCATGGTTATCCCCTTCTATAATCCTGCAGGCTAAAGTCCCCACGTTATCCTTTAGCAAGCAAAGGGGACCACAGGAATACCAAGTGCTAGATAGAGCTCACAGAGACACGTGGCCACAGCCACAGCAGAGAGGTATAACTACATAAAGAAGACAATTCATACAAAGCCTGAGAAAGCCCTACTATTATGATGATGTTTATAGGCTATGAATGTTATTTACCGCTCTTTCTTGCCTGGGAGCAGCTTACCTCTATTAAAAGCCCTTGGTGACGACACGCCAGAGTCCTTCTGGTTGCTCAGACTTCAGAACATGGCAGAATCTCCAAGGGCTGGATTTTCCCAAGAATCCCCCTTAGGCAGAAGCAGCTCTGCCTCTGAAGGCGGCGGAGAGAAGGATTCAGTGTAAAAGTAATTGCTTCTGGCAGCCGAGGCCTTGAGCTCAGGGCGAGCTGCTGCCTGGGGTTGGCAGCAACGTGATGAGACCGGGGTCCCAGGCTGCAAGGCTGGGACACAACGTCACTAAACCAGTCCTGCGATTTCTGCATGTGTTTGGGAGATAGGAGACGCCATCAGATTTACTAAAAGCAAATAAACCATCACAAATCAGCATTTGGATGAAACCTACATAAGCTTTACTAAGGGATTAATATAAAGAATCCAGTTGTGCATATATATATATATATATATGTGTGTGTGTATATGTAAGAATGAATAAGACTAAGCTTTGGAAAAAGCAGACAAAAGTTTGCAGAGCCCTTCATGTTTGTGCTAACAAAGGCATTACCTCTTGGCCAGCATCTTCAGCACAGTGGCATCCTATTTCTGGGCAATTTCTGGGCAAAGATCAAAGAAAACATGCTGTTGTCTCATTTTTCTTTCTTTTTCTTTTTTCTTTTCCCTTCCATTTTGAGAAATAAAGAAATGTATATGAATTACCTGGGGCAAATTGGGCAAAGGTGGCAGCGCTGCCGGCCTTGTGCCTGCTGCTGGGGCCAGGTTCCCGCACAGCTGCGCGGAAATCCCACTGCCTGCAGGAGAAAGCAGGAAATCCTGCTCCCATTTAAATGCCTCGCCACATTCCCTGCATCCCCCAGCAACCAGGAACCAAATACCCGGGGAAAAATACCTCTCCCCTTTATGCACACGGCTAGCTACGGAAATGGAAAAGGCCCTTTCCTCTTGCCCAGCTTGCCAGCCGCTGCGGGCAGCGTTTGCACTGTGAGCAGTTGCAGATGTGGGTGCCAGCGGGCTGAGGCTTTGCTGGCTCCATCCCGCATGCTCGCTCCACCCTTTTTTTTTTTTTTTTTTTTTTTTCCCCTTTCAGCTTTTGCAATCTGACAGAGCAGAGCGAAAGCAAGTTGAGGGCAAAGCCTCTGCCCTGAAGACACCGAGCTGGAGAGCAGCTCCCGGTCCCCGTCCACGCTAGGTGCAGCACCCACGCCGCCCGCTTTAGCCTAAAAAACAAACCCCACACAAGTCCAGGGGAGACACTTGAACTGATTTTGCAGGTAAGATACTATCTTAAAGGCAGCTTTCTGATAGCCGAGCCCTTCCTAACCAGGAAGTTGAGCTCGTGCTAAGGCGAAATGCTGCGGAAAATGGCTTGGCTGCCTAAGAGCGGAGCGAGGCAGGCACAGGGTGCAGCAGAGCTGCCGGGTTAATGCCGGGTTATCAGTCCCAAACAGATCTGGCTTGTGTGGCAGCTGACTTATTTCAGATACTGCTGCTGGGAGAGCCTATGAAACCACTATACGAGGTGGACAGACAAAAAAATCCCTGCACCAACAAGGCTCTGCCTTTAAGCAGGAGTAAATGCATATTTTTGCCCCCCTACAAGGAAAGAGGTCACGGCCGGTGAGGCTGGTTTAAAGTTTCACGCGGCAGGGCCGATGTGTCTGAAGAGAAAATCACTGATAAAAATAGACCAAGTTGTGGTTCTGCTGCGGTGGGGAGAAGCTTGGAGAGCGGCCAGACGCCGAGCGAAGCGAAACCCCAGCGGAGCGGCTGCAGGGCTGCGACCTGCGGCTGTGCTCCTGGCCCGGGGGGGATCGCTGCAGATTTCGGCACGTTTGGGGAGCAGGGCTGCGTGACTGGCAACACTGCTGCTGCCAGGAAACGGCACCGAGGGGACTTCTGCATTTTTGTTGCTTTCGATATATACTGCAAGCATCTGTGCAAAATTCCCAGGCGATTTGGTGCAGGCCATCGGCACTGTATGGATAATTTACAGATGGGGAGGGTCCTTTTGAGCAAGGTCCTTATGTCGCTTCCAACACAAGCTGCTATATATATTTTTTCTCACCCTTATTTTCAGACAGAACATGGACATCAAGGAATACTTTGCCAGAATTTCCTACCAGGGCAGCTATGACAAGCCGGACCTGGATACCTTAACGGCGATATTCCAGCACCACATCCGTGCGGTGCCTTTTGAGAACCTCAGCATCCACTGTGGGGAGCGCGTGGAGCTGGACCTGGGGCCGGTGTACCACAAGATCGTGCGGAAGAACCGCGGGGGCTGGTGCATGGAAAACAACCACCTCCTGTCCTGGGCCCTGAAGACCCTCGGGTACGACGTCACCCTGTTGGGAGCCAAAGTTTATGTCCCCGAGGACGACACGTACGCCGATGAAATCGACCACCTTCTCCTCAAAGTGGTCCTTCAAGGCAAGTCCTACATTGTGGACGGTGGCTTTGGGATGTCCTACCAGCTCTGGCAGCCCATGGAGCTCGTTGCGGGCAAGGACCAGCCTCAGACGCCTGGCATCTTTCGCTTCCTGGAGGAAGATGGGATCTGGTACCTGGAGAAGGTGAAAAGGAAGCAGTATGTCCCCAACCAAAGCGACGCGACTTCTCACAACGTGGATAAAGAGGTTTGCCGGCGGATTTATCTCTTTACCCTGCAGCCGCGAGACATCGAGGAGTTCAGACCCCGCAACCTGCACCTGCAGACGGCGCCAGGCTCCCTCTTCGTCACCAAGTCCATCTGCAGCTTGCAGACCACCGAGGGCATCCGCGCCTTGGTCGGGTGGAAACTCACAGAGATGACCTACAACTATAAGGGTAATATGGATCTGGTGGAAATCAGAATCCTCACAGATGAAGAAATAGAGAAAACGCTCAAAGAGAAATTCAACATAACACTAGACAAGAAACTTGTGCCAATCAATACTAGCAGGTTGTCTCTGTTTTAACAGACTGCCTGATTTAATTCAATGCAGTGATACTTAGTACATTCTTTCCCCTATCTTTGACGAGCACTAAAGGTTAGGCTCCGCTTTCCATCTACCCCAGCTTAGGACAGAACATATTAGCATGAATCTGGAAAAGAAATTGATTTTCACAACCGTTCCTGCATCTGTGCCTGGTTCAGGTACAAACAATTTCCTCCTGGCTCAATCAAATGGCTCCTGTTCTGTACCTGCATAGCTGGAAGGAGGCTCTGCCTGCTCCCTTCCCCTTCCATCCCATCAGAGCCTTTCTCACTAGTGCTGGTGGGACAACACATCTGTTTCCTTATTACTTTGCACCTGAGGAAAACCATATCTACATCTTAAATGACTACCATATCATTTTTGAAATTTAATAGCTGGAAAAACACAGATGTTCAGTGCTCAGTTTGCCACCACAAGCCCAAGTCTGTCCTCCCCACGTAGCTTTGTGCTTGGGACATACCTGGCAAATACCGCATGGCTTTTGATGGCCTAAAACCGATAGTCAGAAACATTAGGAGAAAAATGGATCTCATTTCTGATTTGAAATCCCCTTGTTCTCTCTGTGGTGTAACCAAAACCCAGTAATTCTGGGGCTGTCTTTGGATCTGCAGTGTCTCCCATGCAGTTTGTTTGCTCAATCCCGCAGCGGGCAGCTGGAATGTGTCCCCTGCTCCCAGGGTGCTCTTGCTGCTCTGCATATTGCTGCACATTAATTACTGTGGTTGAACCCAAATTCATGCAGAAGGGTTTTTTTTTTCCAAAACATATCTGTTCTACTGAAGATGTGTTTGCAGTGATACTAATTATATTGATATAAGGAGAAAGCATAAATCTTAATCAGATACCTAAAGGCTAACATTTTTAGTACGAGAAATTACTCAAATGTAATCATATTGCCCTTTGAGATGATGCTTGATGTTGCTTTATGTACAAATCACAGAAGCATTACAACTATGCACTTACTTATGATTAAGTAAATTACAATCCAATAAAAAAATCAAGTATTGTAAACTATAAGTATTCATCTGTTTCTTTTCCCCAAACTACAATTTCTTCCAAAGTAAAAATTCACAACGATCCTTCATTAATCACTGCAGTTGTCCTGATTATGTTTTGTAGATAAGGCTTTTTAAAATACAATAGCCACACTGTCCCTTCTTTATTTTGTTATGCAATGTATGCGGTTTCCTATAATAAGCCATTTATGTGCTAGTTAACAAAGGATGATGCTATTCCGCCTGCTCAGAATGCATTTCCCTGAGATAAGAGCCCCTAATTCCCCTCCTCCTGGCACCAAACACATCCTTATGTTCTTGGCTGCGTGGGCAATAGTCATAGCCGAGGACGGGAGGAGATGACACGGTCGTGGAGACCCTTGTTGCCCCATGGACCTGCTGCGGGCAGGGCTGTCACCACTCTCCAAAGTTGCTCCCCAAACTGTGTTTCTCTCTCGCCTCTCTGGAGGGCTTTGGTTCCCCATCAGCAACTCAGGAGGCTTCAGCCCACTCGACACTCCAGGCTCTTTGGGGATGGGCTTGTCTTCCAGCTCTTCCTACAGCACTAACACGACGAATTGTGTGACTGTTTCTTTCTTTTTTTCCATGCACAAAGCTGTTACAACTAAAATAATCGATCCATCACAACGGAAAAGTCTATAGAAGAGGAAACCCCCTTTCTTTCTGCCTCTGCTAGAGGCCGAGCCCCTTTTCCAGGCAGCAAAAGGGAGCCTGGAGCTTTAAGAGCAGAGTTCCCAGTGCCAACATTCCTGGGAACTTCGGAGCAGCCCAGCAGGGAAAGCCGGTGGCTCGCGGGCTGGGAGGTAAGTGCCCAAGGGCCTGGCTTGTGGCTTCCTCTTGTGGAAGGGGCTGAGGTGGCTTGGAGAGGCTTGTGGCATGCACCTGCATTGCCAGTGCTCAGCCCTGGGGGCACCTTTTCGCGAGGGATTTTGCAAGGGAGGAATGACTGCAGCAGGGTCAGCGCCGCAGGCTGCAGCACGAGGACAACGTCCAGGTGCAAAGAGCAACTGCCCGAGATTTAAACTTGCCCGATTCCGCTGAGCCAGGATGTATGGAAAACCCAACGCGGGCCTCAGATGCAACACAGCTTAAAAATCAAACAAATCGCACAGGCACGCAGAAGAGAAGCCTTTCCTGGGAGTCCCTGGGGAATCCCGGCAGCGAGGAGCCCTTTCTGCCACTCACCCTCATGACGAGGAGACGCCGATACCCCAGGGACGCCCGCAGACAGGCAGAACTCCTATCTGCATCTCGCTCCCCACCACGCGGAGCCCGGGAATGGGCATGAGAGCCGGGTGGGACCGTGGGAGCCAAAGGAAGCATCACGGAGCGTGGGATGGCGGAGGCTGAGCCGGGCGCTGCCGCGGGAGGGAGACGTTCGCATCCCGCTGTGCAGAGCTGCTCCAAGGGCGGGAGGCAGGGAAGGCTTCCCGCCAGCACCGCCACCAGGGAGACCTGGCCGCGTCCGGAAAGAGATGAGGGAAATAAGAGCTCAAAATGCAGAATCAAAGACTCATTAATGTGAGTCCTTTTGGCTCTTTTGAAGTGAAAATGCTTGTTTCTGATTCCCTTAGTGGGGCAGCCCTCCATTGGGTTATATTTTTCCTGTGGTTTTTTTGCAGCCTGAATCCTGCTCCCCACAGCAGTCAGCAAGTGAGTTATGGCCTGATGTTTGGGGGGAAAGTCTAGAGACTGGGTCATCTGATGGGCCGGGGTGCCAGGGTGGGTGTTTTCACCTTGCTATTCCAGGGGAGCTTCCCTGAAGTGCTGGGTGCTCACACAGAGACCAGCATGCGGATCCACCGGAATTCCGGGTGATTCCACTGGAATGGCTAGGCCTGTGCTGAGGTGACGAGCTGGGAAGTCGTTTCTCCCACGTAATCTGCAGCAGGCACTTTTCAGAAAATCCTCGCGGGGGATGGGGGATCAGCTTCAAGGAGCAAGAAATCCTCAGGCTTTCCAGAAATTAATACGGACCTTAGCGGATTGTGAGCGGTTCCTGAAAAAAAAAAAAAAGAGAAATCTTTCTGTGGAAAAACGCCAAATTAAATCTATATTAAGGGCAAAACAAATCCTCACAAATACCAGATGATTAGAAATGTTATCAGGTGACTTTTGCATCTTGACCACACAATCCGTAGCAAAGGTGAGTTGCTTTCTGCTCATGAAGACACATGAGCAGGGACACAGCACAAAATATGCCCAATTTTAGCTCCAACTGCAACCTTTGCTTTGTAAAAGACAAAAGAGAAAAACCACCCAATATTTCTTGAATATATTCTTAATAATTATCAATTCTTTTGACCCTCGAATTAGAAAAAATAAAAATCTTCCCCTTCTATATCAACAGCCAAGGTCAAAGCTCTGCCAAAACTCAACAGAGAAACTAAAGAGATTAAGAAGACTACAATCTACTTCACACGAGAGCATGTCCAAAACAGTGACACACTGAGAAGTTAATCCCCGTTAGCTAAAGCTGTGCATGTAAAACCTTCTAGTTAAATTACCTATGTGATAAGTGAAGAATTGCTGCCCTGCTACTGTAAGGAAAAAGAGTAAGAAATTGTTGCAACTTCCATCACAGTACAGCCTAACAACTTGTCCGCAGACCTGTTGTTTGTCACCTGTTATAATTACTTTGTCACCTGTCGTCACACCAAAAACTCTGCTGTGCCAAGTGCTGCAGGTGCCTGCAACACAGAGTGCAACTTGGGCTGAAGAAATTTCTGGAGAGATAAGGCATTATTCTCCCCTGCTCCTCTCCTTATCTCTCTCTTTTTTTTTTTTTTAATAAGAAATACAGATGATTCTGTCAGCTCTAGACTATTTTCATCCCCTATCAAGGGCAAAGGTTTCTTTCAAACACGAGGCAAATGCACAGGGTGCCTTTGCAGGCCAGTTAACTGGTGCTGCAGAAACAGGAATGGATCCCTCGAGAGCCTTCCAACAGTAACCTGCTCTTTTTCTGCTCACACAGGCAAAATGAACATTCAAGAATATTTCTCAAGAATTTCTTATGATGGGTCCCATAAGGATGCAGACTTGGAAACCTTAACAGTCATCTTCCAGCACCATATCCAGGCAATCCCCTTTGAGAACCTCAGCATGCACTGTGGAGAGAGCATTTATCTGGATTTAGAGCATATTTACAATAAGATTGTGAGAAAGAAACGTGGTGGATGGTGCCTAGAAAACAACTATCTTTTATTTTGGGCTTTGCAAACAATAGGTTATGACGTCTGCATTCTTGGAAGCAGCAGTTACAACCCGGCAGAGGGAACATATAAGGCTATGGATCATGTCCTGCTGAAGGTGGTGGTCGACAGCAAGTCCTATATTGTAGACAGTGGTTTTGGTGGTACCTATCAAATGTGGCAGCCAGTGCTGCTGGTTTCTGGAAAGGATCAGCCTCAGGTTCCCGGCATCTTCCGCTTGACGGAAGACAACGGTATCTGGTACTTTGAGAAAACAAAAAGGAAGCATTGTAGTACAGATCAAAGTGGCCCTGCAACTGATACTCCAGGAATGAAGGAGATTAGAAAGATATGTTCATTCACTCTTGAGCCACGAGATATGAATGACTTCCAGGAGCTAAACTGGAAGCTGCAGACATCTGATAACTTACTTCAGAAGAAGTCAATCTGCACTCTCCAGACCACTGATGGGGTTTCTAACTTGGTTGGATGGACTTTCACTGAGATCAAGTACAGCTACGCGGAGGACATGGACATGGTGAAGATCACAACTCTCACAGATGAAGAGGTTGAGAAGACACTGAAAGATAAATTCAATATAACCTTAGAGAATAAACTTAAACCAATAAACATTCGAGGCTTGCCACCTAATTTAGCTGATATGATATGATCTAATTCCAAAACTGTGGAAGATGGATCCTTAACTACTCAATATAAAAAAAAATCTAAAATTAACGTAACAATATAGTAAGGTGATTCTAAAGTTGAGCTATTCAGATGGTAAATTTAAGCATTAAATTTATTAATACTTAGCTATATCCATTTCATATTTTTTTCTTTAACTTGTTAGGAGAAGATATATTACCATTTTACATAAAAGATCTCTTATGTTTCTTGTATTATTTCCCATCTTCTCCTCAACATAGTTTTATAAATTATTTACTTCCTTTAACAGTCTGCATATGATTTTGACCTTTAAATAATCCATAAAAAATGAGAGAATAAGCTTTTCTTAAAATAAACCACTATGTACTGGCTGTTTAGCTGATACTGAAAAGAAAAGCTGAAAGGCATGAGTTTTAACACCTGATTTCAAAACGACTTAAAATGAGCTAGTCATGTAAGAGCACTTACAAAAATATCTTCTCCAAGTGTTCAATTTTAGCTACTTTCAGTGTGTTTTTTCTGTTTCTCTGAAATGTAAACAATGCCAACAGGAGATGAAGCTCTTCGACAGTTCTTAAAAATCATGAATTTAGAATCAAAAATGTAAACAAACAAAATTAGATCAACCTTTGAAAAAGTATGGTCTAGATGTTTTGAGGCCTGATTTCCTCAGGTGGCAATATTGCAGACACAAAGCTTATTACAAAGGCTACAACAAATGATGCAAAAGAAAAGCTGAGCAGTTAGGACACGCTCCCAGCATGATTTCTCCATGTGGAGTCTTCAGGTCATGGAAACCAGAACTTTTGTATTTGTGTCCCCTTTCAGTCAGCCTCTTGCTTTCCATCTCCAAAAAGGCCATAAAACTTGAAAGGGAGACATCCAATATGTCAAAGGCCAAGTTTTAGAGTGGAAACACATTATTTACTTCATTTCATATGCAACACTGTACAAATAAATATTTATCATGGCATTTATTATATGAGAAAATGACGAAATGACCAGCTGGTGTGGTGGAAGCTCTGAAATGCTGGGTGAGCAAAAGTGGCCTGCAACATCTAGGCAACACAGAGCACCCCGAAGCAAAGAAAACACCAATGTCCACTGCAAAGTCCGGGTCACCAAATAACATTAAATTAATCATAAAGACTGCTGAGCCATTTTTTGAAGATCTGCTGAAATTATTTTACAGACAAAACCAGTGCAATCTGGTCTTAACCAGCAAAAGACATAAGCATTGCTTAATTAAGAAGAAACAAAGTTTAACTTGCTTATGGATCAGTGAAGCCCAAAAAAAAAAAAAAAAAAAAATTGTGCATGCATTTTGAGTGGACTCTGCCCTTTCCTGTAGCTTAAGTTTCAGAAGTGCAGGACAGGAAGACCGACTTCAAGAGGAAGACCGAGTTTGCAGGTTGTATCCACTCCTGCCTTTACTCCCAGAAATAAACAATCCAGCTGAATACATAAATAAATAAGGCTGTGTTAAGAGGTAAGTTTCTTTTATTCAAAAAAAAAAAAAAAACAAAAAACAAAAAACAAATTGGTTTCTTTATGGGAAATAAATCTGAGCAAAATTTCCTTTAGGAAAAGATATTATAAAAATATGTGGGGATGTGGGGGACAGAACTAAAATAATGCCTGCTAAAGATGGGCTCTTAAAGAAGAGAAATCAATAACAACACAATTTCAATTTGTCTGTCTTTCTGTTCTTCAGAAGGCAATTCACTTATCCAGCAGAGAGATGCATTTATTTAGATTTATCAGTGCATGTAAATTTGGAACTGCAGCCTCTTCTAGGAGGTATTTTTTAAAATATATCTTTAACTTTATTTACAAGTATTGCAAATGCAAAGAAAGCAGAGAGAAGAGAAAAATAATCAATACATTTTGCTTTACAATCTGTTAAAAACAATTTAAAGATGAAGGTTGTAGACTATGTTTTGCCTGCTCCACAAAGCCTGTGTACTAGCTGCAGTAGGATAAAATAGATACTTTTATTTAAAAATAGAATTACTGATTGTGTGTACAGTCATGGTAAGGTGGTGTTGGTGGTAAACATTTTTGCACTGATATCTTTATTTGTACATTTAGAAACAGACCTTGAAGGTTCGGCTGCTGCTGCCTTTCCCTGTGTACATCACAGTCACATCTGGAGGATTATCTTTTCAGTATCTAGCTTTTCATCTGATCTGTTCACAATTCAAAAGAACGGTAGCTTTCATCTCCTAGCAGTTAAGATCTAATGCTGATCAATCGTGTTATGGAGCTGCAGAGAGGAATCACAAGTAATATAAAATCAAGAACTTCTGTTATGCTGGTATGATCAGCTCTTACTTTTTAGCATGCAGAACGTGGCCAGGTAGCTTTGGATAAAATTAGACCCTGTAAAACAAAAAGGGGAGGGAGAAAGATATTTTGATCTGTCTTATCGAACTCATCAACGCTGGGTGGCACCATGGACAAAAGTTTTTAATTTTGGCCAACCTTTTGTTTGGACAAAAAAAAAAAAACATGCAATGCAATGCCAGAAGCTTATTTTCTTCTTAACAAATATTACCTTAGAATATCCACCAAAACACTTAGATAAATACTGGAAACAATACTCCTGTAGAAGACAACATACCATATTTGATGGGCTCTCCATTCACTTCGAGCAGCTGCTTCTATAACACGGATATGCACATCACAAATCTGTCACTGGAAATCATCTCGAGAAATCCTAGCTCGCAGTAAATATTCAGTGTTTCAGTGCTGAATTTATTTGAACACAACAGACTTCCCGAGTCGCTAATACCAAGTGGCTGAAGCTTAGCTCACTGTATGCACAAAAGATTTCCAAGCAGCTTTCCGAACTGTCAAGAAGTTAAATATTTGCAGTAACTCTGAACTGCTGAAATGGTTACTGCTGTCTCTGCAAAGGTCCAAGTGTTCAAAACATATTGGGTCAAGCTCCCTATCCTCATGAGCAATCTACAGTAAACATTTACAAACAGGACCTATGCAGAGCCCTATGGATCACAGAGCCTGCAGGGATGGTCTGCAGACTGATAGGTCTGGGAAAGCCCAGGCACTGTGCATGACTTCCAGTGGCACTGGGAGGCAGAAAAATAAGTTGAATGGATCCCCAGGTAGCAATCTGGCTCGGGAGCTGTGTTCCCAACAGAGATGGGCATTGCTAGAGGCAGGTAAAACCATGAAGGTTGTTCTCAGAGCCTCCTCTGGAAGGAGTAAATGAAGTTTTATGAAAGACCTGGATTAGAGAGTAGTAAACCGTTCCCTGCCTACTTTCAGAGTACCTGCTGGGAATAAAGACATGCTTTTTGTCTTTCGGATTACTCATTTTATATGAATCATGAATAATGATTCATCCAGAATCACTATTGCAACACCCAAATGAGTCTGGGCAACACTTAGATGAGACGAGGGACCCAGTGGTGGGTGACTCTTGCAAAGGTCAGAGTTTTTTCCTCTTTCAGTTATAAATATCCGAATAAAACTTGACACATCACAAAATGTGCAGGGAGTATCACTTTCTGCTTTTTGTAAGCGAAGCAACAGAGACATGCAGGGAATGAACCATTCATTTGTGATCTCATAGATCAGTGGCAGACTCATGAAAGGAACATGTGAATCCTGGCTCAAATTATTCTCCCTCCAACCGCTAGACAACCCTACTCCCTGCGCTGCTCCTCCTTTCATTGAAAAGTGGATTTAGACTATTTTCATGAAAGCTTCTGAGCATTCCCTGGCGAGATCTTATATTTCTTCCTAAGCCTGCAGTTACAATGCAAATACAGCAAATCCCTGTTACGCAGACCCTGCATATCAAGCAGCAGTTGCATCAACTGTTTGCCATAGGGATGAGTCGGAGGGAAAAGCAAACCCTCACATGCACAAACCCTTCTTTGCTCTTGGAACTGTTTGATATGAATATTTGTTGCTTTTAGAAACTCCTCTGATGAGGTTCAGTAAGTTGAAGTGTCTCTGCTGGCAATATCCTGGGCAGTTCTCCCCAGCATCATAAATCATTGATGTAAAGAAACAAAATCAAAAAACTATTTCTCTCTTTTACAGGAAATATGAACCTCGAAGAGTATTTTGTGAGAACTGGTTATAACGGTTCCCTTGAAAAACAAGATTTGGAAACCTTAACTGATATATTCCAGCACCACATCCGCGCTGTTCCGTTTGAAAATCTCAGCATCCACTGCGGGGAGAAAATTACTTTGGAGCTGGAGCACGTATATAACAAAATCGTGAGGAAGAAGCGTGGTGGCTGGTGCATGGAAAACAACCAGCTCTTGGGCTGGGTCCTGAAGGGCCTGGGGTACGAGGCCAGTTTTCTGGGAGCATATGTCTTCAATCCACATCAAAACACGTACGCCAACATCATGACCCACCTGCTCGTAAAGGTGGTCATTGATGGCAAGGCCTATATTGTTGATGCAGGCTTTGGCGTGTCCTACCAGATGTGGCAACCAATGGAGCTTGTGTCTGGGAAAGACCAGCCCCAGGCTCCTGGCGTCTTCCGCTTCACGGAAAAAAACGCCATCTGGTACCTGGAAAAAATGCGACGGAAGCAATATATCCCCAATCAACATTTCTCCAATTCCGACCTTCTAGAGAAAAAAGAGTGTCGGAAAGTTTACATGTTCAGTCTGGAGCCACGGACGGTGGAAGATTTCCGTTTCCAGTGCTCGTACCTCCAGACGTCTCCCGAATCCCTCTTCACGAAGAAGTCCATCTGCACCCTGCAGACCACCGACGGCTTCCGAGCGCTAATCGGGTGGACACTCACGGAGACCACATACAATTACAAGGAAAATATGGATCTGGTGGAATTCGTAACACTTGAGGATGAAGAGGTGGAAAAGACACTGAAAGAGAAATTCAACATAACTCTAGAGAAAAAGCTTGTGCCAATTAATGTCAAAGGATATTACACAATTTAGACTACTGGAAAAAAAAACCTATGCTAATTTACAGTATTTTCCATGGTCTGCCCAATCACTACTGCGAGATTACAGGATTCCCTTGCAGGCAATTGAAGGGAAAATACATTAATGCCAGGTTAAAGTGAAGAAATCAGGGATATCACCCTCTTCTGCCAGGTAGACAGAATTATTTGCTGTGAAATGACTGAAGTTCAATTTTTGGCAGAAATGTAGACAATGATTTGTATCTGGTCGTAAACTTGGGCAAGAAATATGCCTGGGGAATTCTGGAGTGTCTATAGCACATAAGAAGAGGAAGTATTATTAATTTTGATATGCTGCCAACACATTTTTGGATATTATGATTAAAAAAAAAAAATCCGTGAGCATTTAGACACCTACGTACACACTTAAAATTTCACTTTTCACAATATGTAGCCACTCATCTCATTTCCCTATCTTTAAAGTGGGTATAACTATACTGTCAGCTTTGAACATGATATTTCAAGAGGTACACAGCTCTTGATGATTCTCAACCAAAATACATTGGGAAATGATTATTTGCATATCCATCCCTTTGTTATTAGCACAGCAAACTAAGTAACTTTCGATATGTATGTATTTTTCCTAGGATGCCAACTGCAGCTATCCTACAAAAAAACCCATCCTGTTCCAGGGTGAAGCAGAATACGCTGCTTAAATGTGAGTCTCAAAGGGCTTAAATTTATTTTTATCCCATATAAGGTGGAATTTTCCCATTTTTACTGTTGCAAGTTACTGCATGTTATGCTGCAAGTTATTGTACATATAATAAAGGTGGAATAACAACACTAAGCCCACTATACCCTTAACTGCTATGCTGCCATCTCTGTGTGTATAACGAATTTGGAATTCTATATGGCTACTGCCTGTGAAGCCTGGGAAGCACAGGAGCTTTAGCGTCACAAATAAGTTTCTTCCTTTTTAAGAAGCAAGGAGCAAGTCAAATTGAAAGGATTTTTTTCTTTCCAATTATTTCAAAATCATAGTTTCCCATCTTAACCAAATTGCCAGCATATTCTTCCATGCTTCTCTGCAAAACGCTCAAGCAAGGAAGCCACCAACAAAGGAGAAGCATTCACAAAGCATGCTGAAAGAAAAAAAAAAAAGGCAGAAACACCGGAAAACACACTTTCTTTTCTTCTTTTCCATCTACTCTAATCCTGAGTGTGGTTAAAAATTTATCCCACTGATAAATGTATCTTTTTCTTCAAAGACATAATCTGATCAGAAATCTCACAAATGCTGTAAATGTATATTTGAAAATAAAGAGTAAATCTATAAGAATTGCTGCAAATATAGAACTTCCCATTACAGCATGATCCTGGCATGCTTGGTTTGCTAAATAAATAAGGACTGTGCAATTGCACAGCCTGATCGACTGGCTAGCCCTCCCCACCATGAAATTCTTGGACTGAACAGGCTGGTATGACAAAAGTTTGATGGAAATGTTGGAGATAGTAAGTTCCTACAGGTTACGGACAGCTCGTAGGCTGAGGAAGAGGATGGCCGAGGATGAGGAGCTCTCATTTCCACTGGGCTCAGCAGTCAGCATATGCCAAGAGCCCAACCAGGCCGTGCTGTGGGCTGGCAATGCCCTGCTGAGCCTGAGGAGCACTCAAAGCTGCTGTGGTGGCAGCTGGGTATGGTGGTGAATGCATACGTGTCCTGGGACACAGGAACTGAGCGGGAAGTAATAGGGAATTGAGGAGGAAAGTGCTTCCCGAAGTCAGAACTGAGTTCTATCAGTGTAACTAAGGAACCTTGCTTTATAATTTGTATTATTACTACCTCATATTAAGGCCTTATAAAGTTTTTTACCCTTTTCTAAACAATTGACACAATTATGTGTTCCCCAAGACCGTGAGGAACATTAGGACTTCAAAAACACCCACCAGGTCCACTTTACCTGGCAGAAATTCCCACCGGTGTTCCCCCAGGCCACCAAACCCTCTCCTCTTTGTGTTGCTTTGTGCTGCGACCACCTCTCACCTTGAGGCCAACCATCAACAGCAGTTCCTTTGCCTCCAGGCTGCCCTGGAGATGCTTCTGCTGCTGCTCCCAACTAATTGCTCCTCCTGACCTGCTGGGGCTGTGGTGCTGAGGACTCCTTGGGCAGAGACCTTCAGGTTCACCTTGGTGTTATTATCTGTGACTGCAAAGACACCAGACACCACCTTCTTACTAAGCTCTTCAGCTCTTACTAAAGACCTAGAGGGCTGAAGATGATTCAAGTTTCAATGCTCCTCTAATTCAATCTTTCATAATCACTTTCTGAAAGAGATTTTCCTTGAGACATGACAAATATAACCACGTCCTTCACTGTGCAGCATGAGACCAAAGGAAGGAACGCCAACCCGTACAGCTGAGCAAGTTTCACAGTTCAGCCAACCCTCCCCAGAAGCTGATGAAAGCAAAAGGTGTTAAGGTGTGAATGCTGGGCCCCAAAAGCCTCAAAGGTAGAGACAGAAATGATGTAAAAATAAGCAAATAAATAAAAGAGGCATCACAGCCTCTCATCACATCTCTCTCCAAGAAATGTTTAATGAGATCCTGAACTATTGTGCAGTTTTAGTTGCAGACTGTTATTCAAATGGAGAAAAACAAACAATTTGAACCCCTGACCCAGGACTTTCGTAATTCCAAATGCAATTTAAAAGCTTGCTATTCTAATTAAAACAGAAGACAATTTCCTTTTCAATCTGAATTCTGGATTAAATTGCATTAGTTTTAATAGGAAATGGATGCTCAGATCCTATTGATGGCTTTGCATAATCCCACAGTAACTGCCCATTACAAACACAACCGCACAGGCAATGCCCAGTGGAAAATGAGAGCCATCAGCTCTCATTTGTTTTTGTTAAACAAATTGTTAAATTGTATAATGAGTATCTTATTAGGAAACAGACAGCAAAAGAAACACGGTTCAAACTCCATGGTACTACTGCACATTTCTCCCCCACTAATAGAATCAAAGTTTAATCAGCTTATGCATTACTAAAGGGAGGATAGAGGTTGGCTCACTTCAGTTGGACTTCGCTCCTGTGGTTTTTAAGATCTCAAACGAAGATGAATGGAAATAACAAGAACAATCAACAAGAACGATCAAGTTGTTCAATATTTGCATATTCCCAACACTAGCAGTTACAAGAACAACAAGAAAATTGTGCCTGTCAAAAAGAGGAACATTTCTCCTGACAAGAGACACGCTTACCTGTAACACTGTGAACTACAGTGACTACAACACACATCTTCCTTTGTTCAGTGTAACAGGTACAGTAGTACACCAGGCACAACCACTTCTGCTGTCAGATACTTAACCTTAGCCAATAAATCCTCAAAGCAGTTAATTTCTTTAGTAAAAACGCTTACTGCTTAGTCCAATTCACTTCTATTCTCAAGGAAGAAATACTTTTGATTTTGAAACATGGCTATACAGAACTTATAATTCTACAGTTTAGGACGTTGCCCATGAAAATAGCGTTTTAGACTACATCAGAGCCAAGAAAGCTTGAGTTAAGGCTTGAATTATAAATATTTCTCTGCTACACTAGTAGCCTGGTTACAGTACAGATTTTATATGGATGAATGTTTCTGTCTTCTTACCTTGCATGCTTCTTCCAGGAAACAAGAGCCAGACTTAAAATACATCATGTATATAAATATACATATACACACGTGTATGCATGTACTTATATGGTTGGAGATATAAGGGGGCATGAAGTTCATGATGAACATGAAGTTACCACATTAGACTTGAAAAGAACATTGCAATGTAAAACAGTTCTCTGTGTAGAGCCTCCACAAAGGAATTCACAGTTCGTTTTCGCCACAAACAATGAATAAAATTATCCCTCCAAAACTCCTTTACATAATGTCAGTGAAGTGGTGCCAAATTCCCTGTCTTTCAGGGAAATGCAATTGCAGTGACATCTCGTGGAAGCTTGTGGTTCTCTGGGACACTCTTCTTTCCCCATCCCCAACTATCTAGCACAACTATTCAGAAATGCCCTCTCTAGTGAAGAAATGTATTCACATACATCATTTTCTGCGTAATAAGTATAAAAGAATAATGGGATATATTCTGAGTTTTTCTAGTGATGACCAACAATAAATCATTTCTTAGCTCTGGTCACATCATCCATAGGATGAAAAATGCCTTGTGATCATTAACTTCTTTTCAGCTAGTGATAATATATGGTCAGGTTTTAAGTAATTGAACCAGTGGCCTTTAATTAGCTCCGAAAAACTATTTCAGATCATGAATCACAAATTTTCCACCTGTTTGAGGTTCCCTTACTAGGTTAGAAATATATTTCATTTCCACCCATGATCCATCTTGAATATCCAATTAGGTGCTTTTGATATATGGCTTATAGCTCATATATCATACATGCAAACTACAGACACACAACCTTTCTTTATATAATTAACTGAGCTTCATGTCTTGCTTCACTAAGTCACCTCTTATGTTGAGGATGGAATGGCCACTACCTGCTTTGACATAGAAAATTCTTCTTTCTTCAGAAAGCCAACATGAAGGATGAGTAATTCGGACATCTTAGTGAAGAAATGAAATAATAAAAAGCACTATTTCTTGTTGAAGGCTTGGATATAGAGAACAGCTAAAATTCTTATATCTTATTAAGCATGATATTTTACATTAAATTAGCCAACTCACAATAATTAACCACAAAGAAGCAGTTTTTATTCAGCTTTCAAACATGTTTCTGAAGCAGTTATTATGCTTCTATGACAAGACCTAGATAATTATAAGATTGGAATTTTTTGGCTGGAAAAGAAGACAAGATTAGCAAATTTCTTTTGGAAGACAGAAATTAAGACTCACAATCTGCTCAAGTGTCAAACTGTAAATGTTGCCCAATGTCTGTCTTGCTCTAGGAAAAAAAGTTTTACTACAACCCCCCCCTATTTTTAAACAAGCTTTATAAAAATAAATTCAACAAAAAGGACTTTATTTCTCTCTTCTCTTCCCAGGTCCCTTTTAGGATGGTTAAAAATTAAAAAAAAAGTTTTTTTTTTTTCCCATTTTGATGAGTGCAAAGCTTTTCACTGCATAAAAAAAGTCAGTAAAAGCTGATCTGTCTTTCTGGATGGTACAGAGGTAATCTTTTACTCCACTTTTTCCAGATATGATTATAAAATGTAAATACTGTTGCTCTCAGTGGTATATAACATTCATCCTATTCATATGCAGCATTTAAAATGGCCACTGGGCTTAATGCCCCATACCCACTAGAATTGCTCTGAGAGGAAAGGATGTATGACATCCATTGCAAACACATCCACTTTGAAAAATGTTTTTGTGTGTGGATGGCAGAAATTTCAATGAGAACAGACTCAGATTTACAAACCTACCCTTTACATTACATAGTAAAAAATCCAAACAATCTCCAGTTCATGGTACTGTATTTGGTAGATAACGTTTCTATTAACTCCAGTTGTGCAGTTCACATTAATCCTGGGGTTTTAAGAACATTTTCTTAGCTTTGCTAGGTCTTGTGTCACTATTCTCATCTTCATCTTCATCTTGGAGCACACGCTGGTCTCTCTTTTTCAAGAATTTCTTCCCTATTGTTCCCACTAATGTTTCATATCTGTAATGAAAATTTTAAAAAATGACAGCTTTCAGTAGAGACCAAAGAAAACCTCATTGCAACAAATCAGAAATTTAACCAACAGTTTAATTAGAGTTAAAAAAAAGAAGTCAGAGAAGCCTTCCTCACATGAGAGTGTAAGTACAACACTATATATTGCTATATATTATTTGTTCTGGCAGTTTTGGTCAACTGGCAATCTGGACTGCTGACAAATTTTGTGTGGAATACATGGGTACCAAAGGGATGAAATGAACTATAAATTCTTTTTATGACAGACCCCCAGATTCCACTGAACACACAGTAGAATTTTTAGAAAAAAACAGTTTTATGACACATCAAAGTCAAAGGTGTGTTTGCTTGTTTTGTTCTGGAGGAATTTCCCCCTGCACACACACAATGCAGTAAAATACCATCTTTCTGACCAATACTGACTGTGTCACAAAATACAACTTACCTTCTGGCCATCTCTTCATCTGACACATCAGCCTCCATTTTATCATCCACTTCGATTTCTTCTTTCTTGGACTTAGAGTTCATTTGTACCATTAACTTCTGAAAATGAAGTAAGAAATACCTTGAATATGTAATTCGCACATAATGTCAGCTATGTTGAAATTCACTGGTAGAAGAAACTAATAAAAGGTGGAAGCAATTTTAATACAGTTTCCCCCCCATTTGCTGCATTGCATGCAGGCTAGAGCACAGTGCTACAAAAAACAAATCAGGAAGCAGCAAAATGCCAAGTCAGAGTGAGAACAAGTTCAACATAACCGGAAGAATTTTCCAGTAAATCACCTTGCACAACCTTTTTCATACCTCTCAGGCTTTGTACTTCAACTCTTGCTTCAGTTCAGTGGCAACACTTTTATTTCTATTTTAATATACTGCCATCAGCAGGAATCACACCAGAAAGAAACTGAAGACTTTCCTGCCCAGAAGAATTCAAACTTCGAAACTTCAAGTCCTCACTTAGAGAACTAAGTGCTGAATAAACAGGGCTGAATGCTCAAAGGATTGGGCTCTAAATTAAATGGCAGGTGGTAAAGAAGCAAGCTTGGTCTGTTGTTTTGATGAGCAGCATGTGGGACAGTTTCCTCACCCCAGGGAGGGAAAACCTGCAGGAGCCATGCAATTACTGGCCATCAACACAAGGAGATGAAAAGCTTCTATTTATCAGAGGCCGCATTGATCATCAACGTTTCCTTCGAATCATAGTTCTCCCAGTTTGAAGCACGTGGGAGAATTTATAGAAGGTGCTGTGAGTGGCAAACAGCAGGCAGTGCCAGCATTAAAATCCACATCCCCAAGAGTTTCAATTCTAATGTGGGACAACCTCAAAACAGAGCATTTAAAACAGTACCTCAATTTCCGGATTGAATCCTTTAAAGGACATCCTGCCATAAAGCAGATCCTCACACGGCATAAAGCTCCTCTCTTCTATTATAAAGCTCCTGCATGAAAGCACAAAACCAGCATTTGTCAAACAGTGCATTTTCATATAATCAAATTAAACAAATGCAAAAAGCATTTGCTGTCTTCCCCCCACACAAACAAACAAAACCACGGCACATTTTATACCATCAACTAGTGTCTGAAGCTTAATTGCTCTGATAAATCTTTCAGCACAAGGAGCTTGGAGCGCAAAGGAATACTTTTTGCCAGGAGAGCTGTGCCAGTTCCACAAGCAAAATTAACTCTCCTGACAAAAGCACTCTCTGCTGTTCCACCTACATTAATGCTTTTGCCAGAATAAAAATACCACATAAATATCACTCTCCAGGTGGCATTAGTCTACCAGCAAAAGCTTCTAATTAATTTTTCATTGTGATGTTAGACCTGGCATTAGTTGAGTCTGTCAGGATATAAAACACTGTAATTCTCTATACATTTGAGAAAGATTTCCCCTTTTCCCCTTCTTTTTTCCTCTTTTAATGAGCACAGAGCAACGAAAGAAGCATGACCCTGACACGTTCATAATACACTTTAGATAAAAGTACTTCCTTGAATTGCTCCATCCTGCTCGTGCTCTCACACAGGTGCATCCCTCCCTCAACTTTTCACCTCCCATGTAAAATGAACTCCTAAAACCACAGAATAATAAAAGTGAAGAGATCATCAAGTTCATTCTCCTGCCTCTAGGCAGGATCAGCTGAACACCCACCATGAGGAGCAGAGGTCTGTCGTCAAACCTGCTCTCAAAAGACTTCCAATGATGATGACTCCATAATCTCCCTGGGCATTTTTTCCAGTGCTTCACTAGCCTTATTGTCAGAAAAAAAGCCCCAAGATCCAACTGGAACTCTCCTGGCTGCAACTGAAGCTCAGGTAACTTGCTGTCATATCTACTGAAGTCATGGAAAATAATTATCTTATTCAGCAACAGTTAATTTCCCAGATCCCAGCTGCTTGAAAATTATATATATTCTCCTTCAATGGAATTTTTGTCTGCCTTTGACAGGATAAAAATCTAGGTATTTTCAAAGTAGTCAGCACCATTCTAAATAGCAGGAATGGGCATTTGCTTCATTACTAACTCAGATTTCCTTTATTTTCTGCTTTGCCTATTCTTTCTCCTACTTCAAAAACAGGATTTGAAGTGAGCTTGACTCCAGAAGAGAGAATTACCCAGAAGAGACTAAATAATGTGAATGGAACTCAACCTTCTAACACAAGGTTTCAAACTACTCTTTATTTTTCTTCAAATGAAGAGAAAAAACAGCACTAAATTGGTCCCTGAAAGAAACTATTTGCATGCATCTAGAAGAAACAGAGTGAAAGAAAACAAAACACACAAGAAATGAAAGTGGGTCAAACTGGACTAGGCAACCTTGAGAATGTCCTTTAAAATACAAAGCTGAAACACCAGCCTGTCGTAACAATGCTTGTGCTGATTGGGTATTAACGAAATAGCTTCCTGAAACTTCTTCTATAGAAAAAAAAAAATCTATTCCCACTCCCCAGCAATACAATGACAAGAATTATCAAAGTGAACAAGCTTACTCTTTTTCCTTAAGATCTGGTAAATCAAGATACCAATGTTCTTCACTAATTATCTTCTTTTCTTCCTCTTCTAGCTGTTTTTTAGTTTGTGAATCCAAGCTCCTTTGCATGAACTAAAAAGACAGACATAAGCAAACAGTTACAGTTTTTTTTTTCTACAGCACATTCATTCCTGAATATGTTCCTGACAACAATTACCCATAAGTAATATTTAACAGTTGATATAACAAGTAAATGCTTTTTGTGTTTTGTTTTTCTCTGGATTTTGTCTGAACTAGAGCAATAGACAGTGTAAAAATAAACAGCTGCTGATCTACAGCTATCTATACCATGTTAGCAGTCAGCCACATCTATCCTTAGATGCAAAGAAAGAGTCATGCCCTGGTTATTTTTGATGGTTCTGAATTGTTACATCCCACAAACCCTCAACTTTGCAAAAATTCTTCTTGTATTTCAGCAGGGGTTGGAGAAAATTTAGTATTAGAAACAAACACCATGCATACAAATGGATGTTGTGATGTTCTAGGCTGAAGCCTTTCGGAAACATCTGTTCTTTCATGTTTTCTAAAAGTTCAGTATTTATTTTACAGACAGGTTAATGCAAAAGACTGTAACAACGCGCATCTGAAAGTGAAAAGGGTAGGTAAAGGCTATGGAAAGGAGCAGCCCTTAGCATGAAGCTGTGCAAAAGGACGCTGCTACTCGAACTAAATTCTCCTCAGTGACCCACCAATCCAGATGCACCACGTCAGGAAAAGTATGCAGAATAGTTGAGTTTAAAATAGAAACAGTTTAGGGCAAGACAGCTCATTTTGCCCAATATAAGGACATTCGTCAGAGCTGCTCCCTTGGCTATGGCCTTGGGCAGAGGTTGGGAACAGGCAGCGAGGAGCAGGAACCTCTTTCCCTCTTTCCCAGCTGGGAGTAGATGACAGCATCCGTCCTGACCCACAACAGATTGCTGAGGAAGCAACCTACGGATCAGAGATATTAGAAATATCCCGTATATTTCCATTTGTATCCGCTCAATTGCCTGAGCTGACTGCCAATTTAAGCATCAGTGGTGTTAACCTGTTTCACCAAACATGCTAGAGTGAGAACTCTTCACAACTTTACAGTAATAACCCTTACATTCTCACATCCCTGGGAGCCAGGACCTCCCTTTGAGCCTACAAAAAGCCTCTGAATCACCTTATCTGCCAGGGGTATGCATTTATCCCAATACAGCTCCCAGCAAGAGGCTATTCTATCAGTAAATCTGACATACATTCCCATTCAAAAATTGCTAGGTGGCCATCAAAGCACCTGTGCAACACTGCAGAAGAATTTCATATGAACTAATTCTACCCCTCTCACTTATTTCAGCACCACTCCAGGCTTAGATAAACCTGCAGGCTGACAAATAACAAGCCAGTGGGGCACATCTGTATCTGGAACATTAGCAGAGACTCAGATGAGCTTTGGGTCCCAGCTAGAATAGACTTGGCATGGGGATAAAGCCCAACGGGTCCCTAAATGCCTCCCTCATACACAGCAAAATGAAACATGAAATCCTGAAGGAAAAGCCAATACAGTGCTAGTGTCTTCTTTCCCATTTATATTTCTATTTGCATCCACGTGTACAAGTTAATGAAAGAAAAATTGACTTTTGTTTTCTGAGTCGTCCCAAAATGTGTCAGAGCTTTCCAATTAAAATTACAGTATCTACCTGAGGAAATTGAGGGAATCTATCATGTGGAAAACCATATTGCTCATGGAAATTGGTTAGCCAGTCAGAAGCCTGAATAGGAGGAATTTTGTTACAAGCATCCAATTAAATAATCATTTTACATTACATTTTAAAGATTATGTTCCTAAGCATTACCACAGGGAACAACCAGATTAAAAAAAAAGTGATCATATTTATCTAAAATGTAAACATGCATGAATGAATTAAAAAAAAAAAAAAAAAAAAGCCAATTGTGGCAGACACAGAATATGCAAGTCATTAGCAGAGTTGTTTTTTGGATCATTTACGCAAATAATGGCACCTGGATGAAATGGTGCAAGAATTAAAAGCAGGAGCCACACTTGGACACCAAGAGGGAATGTGTGGATTGTGGCAATTAATGCCAGGGCTTTGGCAGCCCTGCCCCTGACCACGCACCTCTGGGTCCATGGATCTGGGCTCGCTCCTCTTACCCCTACAGCTATCAAGCAATAAAATAAAATGCTGCTAAACAAGATCTGCAGAAGGAAGATGCACAATATGAGGTATGTGTGATCCTTCCAAGATCTACTCAGCTTTTCTGCTGGGACTAACCCAGCAGATGTCATGGCACGGTACTCAATGCTTGTTCTCCAGAGCCTTCCAAGGCAGGCACCTGAAACTGGCTTCCCCAGCCTCCCAAGAGCTAATAAATTTGCAAAACCAGTAACAGAAATTTCACTTATAAAGAAAGCATTACGTTAGCAGCAGTAATGCTGCAATCCAGGTTAATGGAGCCCTGCTCTGCCACGCGCTGCTGGCTAGTGAAGCACAATATCCACACTTTGGACGATCGGAACTTTGTGTTTGGAGCCTGTGCACAAATTTTAGCCTTTTGTGCGCGAAATCTGCCAGATGTGGTAAATATTCCACCGCTCTACAGCAGAGTCCACCTTATGCGACAGGTCGAGCTGCGCCAGCCAAATGCCTCTGCCCCGGTGTCTTGAGAAAAACAGGCACTATGGCCACAAACAAAGTGGAAAAAAAGAAAAATAGAGCTGGGGTTGGGGTGGGGGTGTTTTAGCAGTATACAGCAGCCCAGCTGCCCATAAATACTTAATTAATATTAAAAATAGTAATGGCAATAACAGAAGAGGCAACTTCTGGTCGCCGTGCAGAAGGTGAGGGCCATGAGCAGCACCTCAGGCCTGCTCCGTGTCTCCACGTGAACAGGGCACATGGGGGGCTGGCTGCACCTCGACCCTCGCGAGGGCTCCAGAGTCAATGAAAACAAATATAAGTGTTAAAAAAAAAAAGAAACTAATAGAAATAAATATTAAAAATACAAAAAAAAAAAAAAAAAAAAAGTACGAAGAAGCCTTAGACAAAAGATCTCCCTGGAATGCAGCACTAACGCTGTAGTAATCACGAACAAGGAGGGAGAAGCGTAACCACGCGGCGGGAGCCCCGCTCCGGCCGCCTCTCCACTCCGCTCCGCTCGGCCCGGCCGCCTCCTTCCCCGCCGCCCCGTCCCCACGCCGTGCCCTGCAGGCCGCCCCACCTTCATGCGCAGCAGGTTCTTGGAGAGCTTGGCCTTCACCTCGGCGGCCATGGCGGCCGCTGCGCCCCGCAGGCCGCGGCCGATCCCCGCCCTCGCGTAGCGCCGCCGCGGCAGGAGGAGGCGGGAGCGAGGGGAGGGCGCCGCGGCTGCGCCCTGCCCGCGCGGGGCGGCCCCGAGCCCCGCAGCTGCCCCGGAGATTCAGTTTTTTAAAAAATTAAGCGCCGGGATTTGCTTCAGCGGGGGGAATTGCAACCTCGGTCCTCTGGTTAAAACTGGGAAACGACCGAATTGGAAATTATTATTAAAAAAGCAGCTTAATTGGCCCCAAATCGCGGCCGTTGGTGTCGGGTAGTTTGGAATCCGTGTGTGGGATTTCCAGCCGACTCCCCCAGCACAAGCAGGTGCTGCAGTTCCCATATATTCATCCTGAAAAATCAGGTAAAAGGCCTGGAAAATAAACGATCCCCTATATCCAGAATGTAGGTCAAGGCGAGCTTGAGAAACACGTGTAAAGATTTATGTGTTAACAGTCTGGGAAAAAATTAAAATCCACGTGTAATGAAGGGCAAAACCTTCAGGGAAAGGAGAAGGGGGAAGTGCCAATATCCAGGCATCTTTATTATGCAGTTAAGCTCCGTAGGTTAAAATGATTGAAACACAGAGACACGTCCGCTTTTAGGACAGTGATAAAATTGCATTTAAGCATTCTCATATATGCGGATCACCCTCATTTCCTAGGGCCTGAAAATGAGCAGAAAGTGCTTAATGTTTCTGAAATTACAGGCCCCGTCGGCAAGTCTCACCATGAGCGGGGCACGTGTCCCCCACTCCGTTTCACCTCCTTGGGTTTAGACGCTTCTTTTTTTCACTTTAGCATTATCAGCTCTTTCCTGCAAAAGAAAGCTGGACAATTGTTCTCGGTTTTACAAAAACACATCAAAGAATGAATGTTTTTTTGCCATAGCAAATGGCTAAAAAAGCCAAGTGCTGTTAATTTCCAGTGTTTTCCACATTTCCAGTGTTAAACAGGAGCACCGGTGCCTTCCTGTGAGGAGGTCGGAGCGCGGGATTTTGAGCTTCTCTAAATAAAAGAGCTATTTCTAGTGTTCTCACTTTCTACCATATTTCTAGCTCTGAATCCACGTCTGCATCCCGGGATGTGACGGGGTCTTAGTGCAGGACCACAGCCTGACACCCTGCCTGGGGATGTCCAAACCTGACGGGAGCAGAACACAGCAGTAAATGTAGTAGAGATTCTGTAAGGTTTATTTAGAGAAGTGGAGATCGTAAACGGGCTGCCACGCCATTTGATGTATTTCAGCCATAAAAAAGTCGGACGGAAATTTTTGGATTACATCTCCCATCGCTCCAAGTGGATGGGGAGGTTATAGATAACAGTCAGCTGTCTCACGGACCAGATTATACTGTCTGGTAAATCTGAAGACATGCCACTGATGAGAGCAGAAATCTTTATGATTTGCAGGTGGTGGTGGTGGGTAGGTGAGAGTAGACTCTAGCCTGGAAAATACTGCTGCTTCTGGGATGGAGGCAAGTTGGGAAGGATGCTCTGCCGAGAGAAGACGCTGGGGTCACCCGCAATAACAGACAGACACTTCTCACAGCCCTGAGTGCTGTGCAGCAACTCTGCTCCTAGCTAGAAAATTTGGGGTTTTTCTGAAACAAAAATACTTAGGAAAATAGCTCAGGGAAAGATGCTCCCACACATCAAAGACTGTACAGTAAACAAGCAGATAAAAGATTTTCCTTCCTAGGAAATATAGTCCCATCATCCCCCTAGTAATTTCAAAAGTCAAATCAAAGTTGCGGCTAACTATTTAAAGTTATCTTACTTTAATTATTAAATAATTTCTTTAAAGTTATCTTACTTTAAACAACATGTTACAGGTGTGTGCTAGTGTCATGCCAATGGGCTCTAATCTAAGGTAACTTGCTTATTACTTTTTCTGTAACCTTTCATTTCTTCATATTCTTTCATTACTGTGATTCTAGTACAAACCAGGTCTCAAACCCTACGTCAGCCACCAGTTGACTGGATGTCTTATTAACAGTCTTTGAATATGAAGCCTCATTTTATGCTTCTCAAAATACCTGAAGCATTTTTTTCCCTTATAGGGATCAAATCCTTATAGCATGACAGGTGAGTCATTCATTCAGGTCACTCCTCCACTGTTTTTCATATGAGGCTATTAGGTTTTTGAGCAAAAGCAAAGGAGAAGAGTTGTTCCTTGAGGTTTGTTTGCATCATGCAAGGCAATTTTTGCCAAATCCGTTAGAATGGAATCAGAAATGCAGAGTTTTGTACACTGTGCTCTATGCAGAAATAACCTGAAATTCTCCAAGTGGTAGAGACCCACATTTCAAGTACAGGAATGTTTATTTCTGTATATTCTCTCCCATTAACTTCTGTGCCACTAATACATACAGCATATTGGCAGCTCTGAAGGTCCTGGGTGAGCAGAGATTTGTTCTAAAATTCGTGGGCCATTGATGTATCCACGTATCACCTGCCTGCCCATGTGCATTGCCCGCAGAGGATATGGGCTCATTACAGCTCAGCCTTAGAGAGGCACGTCAGCTCGGAGCACACTGACTCATCCACCTAGCTTTTGAAGTCCCCTTCTTAAAATTTGGCACCAGTTCAGGCTACAGCATTGACACACGCAGAGTATTTTTAATCCTCGGTGAACCCCAAGATCTCCCTTTCTTGCAGAACTCCATACAAAGCCTGAAGCAGAAGCTGAGCTCATATAATTTGGGTGCTGTAGACCCATGTTGCTCATATTTTCCTCTTAACAGCCTTCTACAGTGTCACAAATTACGCAGTGTGAAAAGGCATGACTTAAAACTGTGTTTACAGCAAAAGAGAGTTACAAGCCCTCCAGAATAAGAAATATTTTTATCTGAAGAAAATGCGTGTTGTCAGTTTGGGAGAAGACAATTCATTTTAAGTGCTTGTGGCTATCCTGATGGCAGGGTGACCTTTATGGGAATAAATATAGTAATTCCTATTTGATTACAAAAAGTAGAAATTTCACAGTGGTAGCTCCCTGTCTTCTACCATCACCTATAGTGGACTGGATAACGGATTCAAGTCTGTTATTCCCTAGGCAAGCCTAAAAGTTTGGTCCTGTGTTGCAGTGATTTGATACGTCCCTATGCTAAGAGTGAGAGCACAGAGAATGTCTAAAGAACAGCTGAGCAGGTTCTCTTGGCTTCCTTTTCAAAATCAAGAGGCTCTTGGTTTTTTTTGGATTTGATGGAATCACAATTAAAAGAGAATAAGAAGATATCCCCTTGCATTTGTTAACCATAAAAATGCAATGCAGCAGGGCTGGCAGTAGTTTGTTATTTCCCAGGTCAATAAATGACTCCCCTGACTTTAATACACATTGATGCTGCAGGCTTGTTCTACAGTGATTGAACCTTTTTATAGTTTCAACCAGTCACATTTCATGAAAGGTTGAAGGTCTTTTTTGATTTTTTTTTCTTCTTTTTTTCAGAAGGGTTGGTTCTGATTGATTAAATTGTCATTTTTTGTTAGTTGCTGAATTATAACTTGGCATTTTTAACTGTGTGATTTGTTTAAAGAGACAGCTTTTTGATACAGCAAGCCAGCTGAGAATTTTTAAGCAGTAAAAGGAAATTTTACTCACTTTGTTCTCAGCCTTTCATCACTGCCTAAGAAAAAAAGCTCCTGAAAACAATATAGAGGCTATGATAATAAAAGGAAGGTACACAGATTCAAAGTCACTTCTTTATTTCATCACAGACCTGATCTATCTTGCATTATATTGCTTCTGATTAGTATTTGGACACCTCCTGGTTGTTAGCACGTTTATCCTTCCATAGGGAAGGGTATCTATATTTATGGGTGTCTATATTTAAGAGATAGTTACTAAGATATAGGGAGTTTTTTGTCAAATTGCTTCCCCAAGTCAGTGCCCTGTGCATGATAATGCATGGGAGTGACCCTTGGGTGTCCCAAACCCAGAGCTGCCTTTCCAACCATGAGACCTCCTGCCCGCTGTATAAGCAGCTCGCCAAAGCTTGCATAAAGCTATGCATCCCCGAGGGAATTAGAGACATAAATCAGTGCTCACCAAGGCAATATTAAGGGTAAATGACAGAACCATGCTTTGGACTGGCCAATTTAGCCCACAGTAAGCACAGTGGACTCCTCTGCACCAAAGTGATGAGCTCTTAATACTCCTCCTGATGTTGTAGGTCAAACAACATCAGGGTTTTTACCACCACCTGGACTGTGCCCAGTTCCAGACAGAAGGGACAGAGACCTGCTAATTATTTTGGTACAGAGAAAATTGCGTCCACGTGAGGCATTCACTTTGCTGCTGCAGTTCTTCTGTGTGAAGAGCTGCTTGGTTTCAAAACCTTATTTTTCTCTTTCCTTCCCTTCCCCAATTTAAGCCAGCACTGCAGACAGTAAAGCTGAAATGACTGAGGTTGACGTGGAAAACGTGCTCAGGGTGAGGCTCATGTAAAAGCCGTGTGTGCAGGACATCTTTGAAGAGAAAGCGCAGCAGAACTGTCACGTAGCCCATAGCTGCATGTCTGCTGCTTGCGACTGGCTTGCAGAGGGAATGAAATAACCTAATGAGCAGGATAAGGGAGATCTTAAGATTTTTCCACTGCAGACTCACCCTGGTTGGACCTTGAAACAGTAATTAGCAGGGGAAATCTCATGGTATTGGTAAAGTCTGGTGAATGCATCTGCTGGTACCCTTCCACCTCTCTGGCCATTACAAGTTCTGCTCTGAAACACAGGTTTCAGCTCAGTTTCAGTGGTGAATTATGTCCCTTGCCTCCCAATTTAATGGCACCATTCTGCAGCTTACTCCAAGTTCATCTGAGTTCCTTCCATTCTTTTTGCCTGTTTCTCTATTTTTCTATATCATTCATTTCCAAACCTTTACATATGCTAAAAAACAACAAAGGAAGAGGGCGATTAGCAAAATTAAAAGTTAGGCTTCTTACCTGCTGGGATTTCCTGAAGGTCTTTCACCAAGAAGACAGAGGCAACCAGGATGGAAA